TTTTGCTTAAAGCATTAAAAACTCTAGGCACAACTTTTAATCTATCTCGAAATGCTACAGATTCAGAGCTTTACTTTGATGAGAAGGCTCACATGCGTCGTTATCCAACCGTACTCCTTCCTTCAAATCTTCTTGCAAGAGATGGCAGATTTTTGGTAAATGGAGAAGCGGATTGTTGTTGAGGTAGTTGCTCATGAAGTTATTAGCACATTAGGTAAATTAGAGGATTCTAAACTTTTGAGCAGAATAGAGGAAAGTCATGGTGCCAATTCTAATGATTTACTCAACAAGACTTGACAAATGAGTAAAAGCATTGATGTCAATGGATTTCAAGTTCTTCCTTCACATCATCACATGTTAGAAACTTAGAGCATCTCCAACCATGAAAACTCTATAGGGATTCTCAAACAAAAAATATATCATGCGAACTCTACAGGAGTTCTCAAACAAAAAAAATATTCGTTGACTTGTTTTTAGTTAGATATTAAATGATGTTTTCAATATAAAAAGACAAAAAAAATTAAAATTTCTATCGTTCTTAAACTATGCGTTTTTATCTAAAAAATATTATATAATGGAACAGATGGAGTAAAATAAAAAACAATACTTACAAACAAAAAAATGTGAGAACATCAAGTAGAACCAAACTCCTAGTCGCTAACAAGATCACAAGTACAGTTTAGTAAACCACACCATCAAATAAGAGAGAAAGTTTTCTAGCCGAAACCTTTGGAATTTCTTATTCACCACAGCTTCAACTAGAGCTGTCAATTGGTCCTGCCTGCGCCCAGATGGACTTGACCAATTGACATATATAGCGTCAACGTCTAGATAATTCATCTTCAACTTTTCCTCCATTCCTTTCAAATGAGTCTCACCAACCTTCTCTTTCTCTTTTATTTCAGACACCTCGTCAAGTTTGTTTTGCAACCAATCCAACTTAAACCCTGCCTCTGTCAGGCATTTAACTGCAGCATATGCACTATACATATCATCTTTAGAGAGATCCTGAGGCGAGTGGCACATAGTCTCAACCATACCGAGTAGAAAACTCATGTAGCTTGTCCTTAGTGTTGGGTTCTTTGGACGGAATTCAGATGCAATCTCTGGGTATCTTGTAAGCACACGGCTCATAATTTTTTTCTGAGATAGAAAAGAAAGAAAGAAACATATCAAAGAGTCGTTCTTGGAGACAAGAAAAAAGCATCCGTGATTTCTTACCTGTGAAGGAAAAAGGTCAAACCCATTAACATTCATGAATTCCGTTACTGTTGATGTTGAAGTTTGGTTCTTTACATTTACTTTGCCAATAACTTCTAAAACATCTATCTCGGTAAAAATTTTGAGTTCCCCGTTTACTAGAAATCCGCTATCTTTGGCCTCAAGTTGATCAAGGGGAAGCATGTATGATGTTCCCCAGTCAGGTGACTTCTTATCATACCAATGTTGTAAACTGTAAAACCACAAAAAACTGAATTTATCTAATAAAATAAAACTTAACGAGGAACTCATGCAAATTTTGGAGATAAAAACTCATGCAAGTGTAAAGAAATAATAACCTTTTGTAATATTATACAAATCTTCATATTTTAATGAAATTCAAATACTTAGCAAAAAAATAAAAATAATAATAACCTTTATGTGTAACGTTTTTATTCGAATTTTGATTTAGTATAGTTAGGAGATGTCGTGCATGTATTCTCCATGCATATGGCAATGTGTCATTATTAGAGACTTCCAGATACAAAGCCAAGTGACTTTTAGCCCTACAGCCTTTAGGATAGGCTTTAAGATGCCTATAGAAAACACAAATAAAAGAATAAGCAAAAACTATGGACTGTGAAGATATCCGAAATTTGTATGGACGAAAAACACACTTGAAAACCTTACCATTTGCAGCCACCGACTACGAACTGATCAGAACGAATACTCTTAGATTGTAAAGAGGCGAAATTCTGTATCGCCCAAGTGATCTTCTTAGATTCCTTTGCAGTCAAAGTAGCTTTACTATTGAATCCTCGAGTACCTGGAAAAGTATATATATAGTCTTCTTTTTAAATAACAATAAAATCGTCGAAACCGAAAATAAGACATACTTTTAGTTGTATTAATTCAAATCATAAACTACAGGAAAAACCCGAACATACAAGACTATATATAAGAAAACTGAAAAACCCTAAACACCAATAATTCTTATAGATACCTATAGGAGAGCTATTGAAGTGACGGATAATGGCGGTGGCAATGGAGGATAGTGGCGTCTGACGTGGGGCAGAAGATTGAAACCTATTGACTGTACACACTGGAGTACTGAACTGGCGGACGGTTGTGGTGGTGGCGGAGGCGCCGGCGAATATTAGAGGCAGAGCTGCGTAAAGTGGGCGGAGATAGTCGAGAGACCTAATGGCTGTGTGACCAGAGAATCTTGCGCAGGCGATTAGGCTCATCTTGTACGGCAAGAAGTTACCTAATGGCTGCTTGGTTTTGGAAAAGAATATGTAACTGGGAAGAAAACAACAAAACAAAAAATTAAAACCCTCTTAAATATATATTGGGCAATATATATTATATTTACTTTTTTTTTTAATGAAATCTTTCTTATTTCTTTTGTTTCCAAAACTACTATGATTAGTTTTGGTTTTCCAAAAACAGAGAATTAACTTACCCATCAGGCAAATTTGCTTTAAACCCATTTGTTCACCGAAACCAAAGGATCCCAAGCCCCACAAACTTAAAAAATCTCTACCAAAATGGAATTTGCTGAAACGAAAAATACCAGAACACCTAGAACCAAATTTCAAGTCCCTAGATTAACACAACAACATTAAACAACATCATCGAATGAGAAACGGAGTTTCGCATCCAACGCCTTTGCCTTCTCCTTCTCCACCAGAGCTTCAATGTTTGAACACTTCATCTTCAAATCCTTCAACTCGTCCTTCATTTTTTGCAGCCGAGTCTCACTAACCTTCCCTTTCTCCTTAATTTCAGACACATCATCAAGTTTTTTTTTTGCAACCAATCCAACTTAAACCCTGCTTCTGACATGAATTTTACTGCAGCATATGCACTAGACATATCATCTTTAGAGAGCTCCTGAGGCGACTGGCACATAGTCTCAATCATACCGAGTAGAAAACTCATGTAGTTTGTCCTAAGTGTTGGGTTCTCTCGACGAAATTCAGATGCAATCTCTGGGTGTCTTTTAAACACTCGGCTCATAGATTCTACCTGAATATATATTGAAAAATGGGACAATTGCAATAATGCCACTTTTCTGGTGAACATTTGCAAAAATACCATTTAGGGGTATCCATTTGCAAAAATGTCACTAATTATGGATTTTTAAAACGTAAATCTAAAAATTATAAACCCTAAAAAATGTTTTGACCCCTAAAACCCTTAAACCCTCAAAACTAAACCATAATATAACATAGTTAACCCAAAAATAAATGATATAATGAATTTTTTTGTTGAAAAAGTGGCATTTTTTTAAAGATTTTGAAAATATGGTATTTTTGATAAATATCACTTGAAAAGTGGCATTTATACAAATTTCTCTTCAAAAAACAGGTAAAAATACATGTCAAAGAGTTGTTCTTGGAGACAACACAAAAGCATTCTTGATTTCTTACCTGTGAAGGAATAATTTCAAAACCCATTAACATCTACTGATATTGAAGCCTTTTCCGTTTGTTTGCCAATAACTTCAAAAACGTCTAGATCGGTAACAAGTTTGAGGTCTCCATTTACTATAAATCCGCTATCTTTGGCATTAAGTTGATCAAGGGGAAGCAGGCACGATGTTCCCCAGTTGGTTGACATCTCACCATACCAACGTCGTAAATTTGTAATGCTGTAAAACCACGAAAACTGAATTGTCAAATAAAAGAAAGGGCAATTCTCACAAATACCACTAAATGAAATTTTGTTTCTAAAAGTTCAACTATTTTTCAAATGTTCCAAAAGACTAAAATTAACTTTCAAATTTCATCAAATTTCAAAACTAAACCCTAAATTCAGACCCTACCCTTAAAACTATACTATAGTTCTACGATAGTTAATCGTGACCTAAAAATTTAAATTATAAAATTTTGAAAATCAATTTTGTGTTTAAGATATTTGTAGGACATTTGAAAAATAGTGGTATTTGTGGAACATTTAAAAAATCGTAGTACTTTGGAAAACAAAATTTCAAAGTCTGGTATCCTAGGAAATTCTTCCAAAAAAACTACATTAACTATATTAACCAACTCAAACACTCGTGACCGCCCAAAATATATATTTTTTTTTAAATTCCTAAAACATCATCGTAGGCAAATTGAGGGATAAATTGGGAGACAGAAGAAACTCATGCAATAGGACATTAGTGTGAAGAAATAATCACCTTAATGTTTAACGGTTCTATTCGGATTTTGATTTAGCACAGTTAGGATATGTCGTGCTTGTCTTCCCCATCCAGATGGTAATATTTCATGATTAGAGACATGCAAATACATAACCAAGTGACTGTCATAGTTATTGCCCTTAGGAAAGGCTTCAAGAAACCTACACGAATAAAAGAATAAGCAAAACTGTGAACTTGTGTAAAAGAGATTCTACCTAAATCTATATGGACGAAAAACATACTTGGAAATCTTACCACTTGCAGTCACCAACTACGAATTGATCAGAACGAATACGCTTAGATCCCAAAGAAGAGAAATCTTTTATCACCCAAGTGATCTTCTTAGAATTCACTGCAATCAAAGTACAGTGTTCATTTTTTTAAACAAAAAATATTTGAAACGAATACCGAATATAAGAGAGATAAGACATAAACCCTTAGTTTTATTATTATTCAAATCATAACTATAGGAAAAAACCCTAAAAACCATTAATTCTTATAAATACGTATAGGAGAGCTCCAGAAGTGGTGGGTAATGGCGGAGGATAGTGGCGTCTGACGTGCGGCTGAAGATTGAAGCCTATAGGAAGTACGGGCCAGAGTGGAATATTAGAGGCAGAGCTGCGTAAAGTGGACGGAGATAGTTGAGAGACCTAATGGCGGTGTGACCGGAGGAACTTGAGCAGGCCATTAGGCTCATCATCTTGTATTGCAAGAAAAGTAGCTTGGTTTTGACTTTTGAATAGTCATGCACTCTCATCATTTTCTCTCCACGTTTTACAAAATTAGTAACGCAATTGAATCAAACAACAATTTGAGGCCCAAACAACAATTTGAAGCCCAAATGATATTTATCAAACTTAATTACTAACATTTACAAAACGTTTAACCTTTTTGTGATTTAGCTTCCGTTAAAAAAAATCAATTCAATCATGAAGCTCTTATTCTTCCTAGTGTTTTTCGTTCTAAACGCACATATTCACCTCCACCAAAATCGATTCTCAGTAGACAGGCCCCATGAACTATTCCCCTCATCCAGCTACGTGATTTCAATCTCACAAGAGAGTCTTTGTGGGGATCTTACTTTGGATTTGATCAAAGAGAAGGATGGTGAATAGAGGAGATTGGGGTCCCTGCAACCTTTCTCGGTATGTTGGTTATACGAGTCTCATATATTGGTTTTTCATGGTGGGTTAGAGAATTAGAGTGCATTTGATTCCAGTTAACCGATGTTTATGTATTTTACAAATCCAGATGCGAGAGGAGATGGTCATTCTCAGGCATCTCTTTAGCTTCTTCACTTAAGGAGGTATATTAATGAGCATACAAATTATCGGACTCAGAACATGTTATGAGGTACAAAATCTAACCCACATGTGCAAGAGAGTATCAAGTAAGGGATTGTTGTTCGTATGTAGTATAGAAACAAGATGGTATTTGGTGATCAAAACATAGATATCCTGAGGAGACAACAATGGAGCTTCGTGCATTGAAGCTAGCAAAACTTGAGTTTGAGTTTGAAAAAGGAAGATAATTGAAAAGACGTGAGAGAATTGATCTATAGAGAGGTATTCTATTCTCATACTGTTTTTGCTTTGATTGGATTGGTAAGCTATCAACAATGGCAAAATGTATCGCTTTGCCCACATTTATCCATCGGTTAATCGTAATTCTTACAAAACTTGAATGTCAAACAATGCATATATATTAATAGAGTATCATTTTCGAGGTGGAGAACATACTAGCTTCATGTGCCTAAGGTATATAATAACATTTACAATCTGAATTCAGTGGTGATTTCGATGTGGTGTTATGAGAAGTCAGATAAAGATTTTGTAATCCAAATGAAATGTAGTGGTGTTGATCGGTTTAAGAGACAATTTGCGCATCTCGAAGAACATAATGGTAAGGGTGAGAGAAGCTCTCCTCTTCAACACTCGTTACTTAGGTACGCAGTTTCTTCTCTTGGTTCTATAAAATTAATTTGAAACTTGTCAAATTCCGCCGGTTCTTATAAATTTGCATCATGACATTTGTTGTGTTGTGTTTAGTATAAATTTTTTGTTTCAGAGAGAGAGAGTCCCTACCCCTAAAAAAAAGAGAATGGATCACAAAATCACAATATCGAGAACAGTTTATCCACAACACTCGGAAGCTCTCCAAATTCTCAGAAAGAGGGATCCGATTACATGAATGGAATGAACGAGATGGGTTATAGTGCCTGAAGCTTGCTGAAAAGTGCCACCATCAGTGCATCTAAATGCGTTGGCATGAAACAAAGAAACAAATCCAAGGTAAAGATCAATAATTATTTATAGATGTGTTACACACATTCTTGATATCACGTTCTTCATACTGTAAAGGTTATACCTGACCTAGGTAGCAAAGTAAGGTTATACTCCATTGATTGTGTATTTTATGATCAAGTTATTATAGTTTTTGCTTATTAGCTTCAATCTTTGCTATGAAATTGCAGTGGCAAATGACGTAGCGTCGAAGACCGGGTTTCGAAGGAATTGACTTTGTGAGGCATTGTAAATTGTGTTCTTTTCAAGGTTTGCAAGAATCTATAATGTGAATGTGAAAGATTATTTTCTTCCTTTTCAATCTGATTATCTTTTGACATTATATAGTTTGCATTGTTCCAATAAAATATGTTGTTTAGATCAATCAGCATGAGCCTTAGATTCATCTATGCATATATGATTTGTGGGAATGCCGAAGACCGGTTTCGAGTTCATGAATGACTCTAATCGTCTTAATACCTCCATGATAATCAAAACCTGATGGATCTTCGTCATTTCGAGGACATGTTTCTGCGTCTGATACATAGACAGATACGAACAAGATCATGCCAAGCTTTTCAGGTTACTTGGTAAATTGAAATGATGGATCAAAGCGAGGTGTGTTAATCTGGTTTGATAAGAAGATTCACATCTAATCAAGGACAA